ATTTCATTATGGATTTTTTGACTATTCTGTCCATGACTTTTCATTAAATGCACGTAAGGTTCACCGGCCGATAGTTGTTTGTACTTGCTCTAGATCCACCCTTGTGAATGGGGTATATGTTCGCCACTTTCCAGTCAGAGGGAAGAATGCCTCGGTCAAAGAACGACCTTCAAATGTGCAAAAGCGTGCTGGCAAGTTCGCAAGCCAACTCCTTCAGAAATATTGCCGGAATTCGGTCGCGACCCGGAGACTTACTCTACTTAAGCGCTAGAAGTTCCTTCCTCACATCTTCTTCTGTGAAGTCGATGTTTTCTATTATTTCGTTGGTTGTCCCAGCAGGCAATCCAGCGTCGTCAATGTCCGTTTCATCGGTGAAAACAGATACAAAAAACGGCTTTGATGTTCTGCATTAACGACATTTTCGATGATATCCTCATTGTTTTCTCCTTTCAACACTATGATCGTCTCCTTGTTCTTTAACCTACTGTTGATGTAACTGAAGAGCATTTTTGACTTATCGACGGCCCGTTCCATAACTCGCATTTCATACTGCTTCCGCCATCTGCGGATAGCCGATCTTGCCTCGTTTCGCTTTCGACGAAACTCCTCGTAATCAGATGGTTGTTTTGTTGTTGCATACCTTCTCCATAGGTTGTTCTTCCGGTTTGCTTCTTTCTTTATATCCCGCACTGTCCAGGCAGGACGAATATTCTTTTTGACTCTCTTTGTCGGACAGTTCCGATGCATGATGTCTATTACAACTCCTTTGAGAGTGTTCCAATCAACGTCCGGATGTCCGGAAAAAACATAATTGTTGTCCACTGCCGATAATTCCCTTCTCATGGCGGCAAAATCGCCTCGCCAGAAATTCAGCCGAGGCTCAGTCGTATTCACTTGTTGGCTGCATAGGCGGTACTCCCAAAACAGCGTAAAAGGAAATGAAGAGCACAGAGGCGTGCGCACTCTAAGGCGGTGTTTTCGCAGGCAATATCGTTTCATTGCCTGTCGCACCCATCATGGTTACCTGGTATATCGTCTAATTTAGGAATTGTTTTGCGTACAATACTTTGGCTACTGAAGACCCACAAGCAGCTTGTTAATGCGGTTGACATAACTATCTGTCGATAGAGCCAAACAGGCCAGTTCCAGGATGCAGTTCAAAAGAAGAAGATGATGAAGGAGAAGATGCGATCACTGGAGCATGAAGGTTATTGGTCTGGCGTTTCAGATTCCCACTCAAACCCATCATCAGAAGTGGTTGCAGACCAAAAATTGCATATCTTTGGCCGATCTATGGAATAATTTCCAACCTGATTTGCAGTTTACAGTCATATCACAGGTGACGGCAGCTTCACACAGTTCAGGGATGACTGGTATTCACCATGTGTCTTTACAAAACAGGCACAATAGCAGTGGTGCAAAAACCTAGAACGTCATTCAAAAACCAAGCACAGAGCGCATTTTCTCTTATCTTTACGGCACTGACTTAGTCCTAGATGGAAGTAGTATGCAGGTATTCACAATTTTGAATTAAGACGAGTGGGATCGAGACTGTCGGTCTAGAAAAGGTCACATAGCTTGCATTTTAATAGGTAAGTAAACATGCAGAGTAAATGTCGCTTCCTAGGGCATACAAACTTTTTATTTAGGGCGTCCTCACTGGGAGCATAACGTCCATGGACTCAGTTAAGATACACATGCCTCAACCGGTTGGTTGAGGGGATATTCTAGGAAATCTCAAGGTTTCTGATTAAAATGCCTGGTCAATATGCTATTAACCTCCAACTAAGTTGAGACATACCCCCTGACCATAATGTGTCTTCTCTTTTACGATCTCAGGTGGCAGAATCTTATGATCTCTGGCGTCGAACAATTTTCTCAAGTCTTCACTTGCGAGCAACCTTCACGGCTTAATAATACTATACTTTAGTAAAGACGGTAGTTGTAAGAATACTTGAACCGCAACCTAGACCTAGAGGCTGACATGGCGATTGCATAATAGGTATTGTTAGTTTTCCTAGTGAGCAGGTAATGTCCTCTCGAAAATAAGTCTGGTGTTTTGACGCTAACCAGCATAGGGTGACTTGTAAACTAACACAAACCTTGTGTTGTAGGATAACAGGCTAACAGCACAGCTACTAGCTAAAAGGCCAGACAGGTGTCTCGCTGATAATCTGTCGATGCGTTTTGCAGAAAGCTCACGGGGAAAGCTGAAATACCCACTGGTGAGCCGATCCCCTTGCGCCTGCACCACTTAGCAAGAGAGTATCGGCGAAACACGTGTCTGGACAGATAGTTGTCACCTGTTCTGCTAGCACGATGTCGTGTAACCCTAAAATGCACTACTAGCTACATGTCGACAGTTAATGAACACTACGTGATTGTTCCGTTGTGGCTGATGGACACCGACCTATGTGTTCACATTTAACCTATGGTGCTCGCCAATAGACCTTTGTTTTAATTGATCTACTTGAAGTTTGCTGTTATTTTCAGAGGTAAGTTAAAATCAATAACACACATCCCTAAATAAATGGAAGTTTCATCCAACTGGGCCAGTCTTTCAGCATCCGCGTTACTGTTGCATAAAAAAAGACGATCATAGGTTTTTGGGCTTGCCGACTTGGCGAAACAAACGCTGATAATTTTCTTTATTCTACTGGCTTAATCGAAAATACATTCGTTGCTTATTTTCGCTGTGGACAGTCAGGTTTTTCTAAAATGAATTCTGATTTTTGAATGACTCTTTACATGTGGTCCAAACGCACTTCTTCGTTAACATGAGCACCGGAACACTCAATAATTCAGTAACTGCCTTCAAAAATTACTTTATTTTAGAGTTTTTAACAGACGAATAATTCAGAATCTCCTTTTATGAACGGTCGGGTGAAAACACTGAAAATTATTAAATACTCTGCTATATTTAAAGGCCGATCTGAAAGTCAACGGAATCCAAAACGAACGAAAAGTGCAATTTAATTTAGCGGCAGAAAAGTTCTCTTCGTAAACTCAAAATTGTTTGTTTACCATCACGATTATCAGTTTTATTTAAACTTATTAGGCACCGATCGGCTTGGTGGCATGTCGTCGTATGAAATCTTTTGTTCCTACGACGTCCCCATCAGGTAAATCAACCAAAATCCAGTTTTTCGCGTTGAACCCCATCTCATTCAACTCAAATAATTTAAGAATATCACGAATCTCTGGAAAACTGTTTTGGAATATATACTCAAAATGTCGGCTGTTAAGAAACCGCCATGTATGAAATTACACTAGTACTTAAAAGATATTTAGATGCAAACGTCACTGAAACATTATTATTAAGCTTTCTTTTATTTTTAATTTCATAGTTACTGTGTTTTTTGGTAAGAGAATATATTCTATACATCTTAGAGCGACTTTTACTAAATAAGAGCCATTTCTGACGCTTTCGAGATATTGCTCTTTTCTAAGCAAATCGGCATTTCCAAACAACGCAGCCCTACTTTTAATATTTCTTTTATGTTTTAAATCCTTCCATGCGTGAACTAAATTAACATGGACACTGGACTCATGAAATGGAGTCGGTTTGTGAGGGATTGGCAATCATTCGTAAAATTCGACGCCTTTCTCGAATTAGGTCACCCACTGTAGATTTTGGTAGAGAAGCCCACTATCGGAGCAGTGTGACCAGATTGGCTGCACATTTTCAGCACATTAACACATCGAATGCCGATGGAGCTTAACAAATCTCCTACAACCAGCTCGACTCCAGTGTTGGCGTTTTTGTAATAAATCTACACGCATCTCCCTATCTCATGACCTCGAGTCTGAAGGTTGATTCTGGTTCGCGTGCAACTCTGACTGCATGTACTTCATGAAGCACGCCGGTAATTGGATAGGTGAAGTCTGCACCTGCCAACCATATTTATTAACGGCAATTATTTTCTCCTGCTTGTGTGCGTACTTGCAGAACGGGTGATCAGACAAAGGCAGACAGGGCTTCGCACGTTAGCATAGACCATGCAGTATCCGCCTCTGCTGCTCTGTCTCCTTGTAAGTCTGAAAACAACCGCGGTGATGGGCTTCGGCGACGGATACGCAGAGGAGTCAGTAGGCGGCCTCATCGTTGATCCGAAAGACCGAGCTGAGCGTGAACGCATCGACGCCAAAGTGAGTGCAAATAGAGACAATTATGGTGATGCTAGCCTGTTCTTCATCCACTTCAAGTCGCAAGAGGGCCGCATGGTCCTGAACATATCCTGCAATAAGTCGGAGCTCGTTTTTGAGCAGAAGAAAGACCCGCAACAAGTGACGTGCAATTTAACATACGAGCTTACAGTGCCCATCGCTCTCTCCTTCGAAATTGACTACCCTCCAGTGGCCCAATTGGCTCCTGCATTTTGGCTGCATCTACAGCCTACCCCGACCGGACAAATGACCATTCCCCTGAACCTTTCAATCCTCGGAGTGCGCATGGGTGTAGCCTACCTGAGAATTTGGGCCCGTGAAACAATCAAACAGAGTGGATCCGGTCTGTATGTATGGCACAATTGGAGCCGGTCTGACCCTCTGCTCGTGGAGGCCTACTTGTCGACGCTGGTAAACAGGAGTGAGTTCGGCAGCAGCGGCTCCGTCATGGGCCTTCCGGTTAAAATTTTGCGGAAATGTGGCGTATTGGAAACGGTTTTCAGGGTGACAGCTGTGTGTCTGGTCGTTGCTGTTACGTTTGCAATGGGATGCGAACTGGATCCGCGTATGATATGGACGCATGTGAAGAAGCCCGTGGGACCACTCATTGGTTTTTGCTGTCAATTCGGACTCATGCCATTGGTGGGTTTCAGCTGATTGCATGTCGCACATTGCCCCTGATTATCAGATTCATTTTGGCAGAATTACGTTCTTTAGCGATGGCACAAACTGCTACTTTATGTAAACTCCTCGGGACTCTATTTCTCTGAACTTGGCATATGCATTTGCAAACAATCTCGGGTAGATAGGAGGAGATAAAGCTATAGGTCCCCATGATCAAGGTTTATAAAGAGGTAATTTATCCTTTCTATCGTGAATATAAATCCCGTCAATGCTCGGGATATCTTTGTAAAAGTGAATTCAGGTAAATCATCGAGGTTTTCCAAAATGCCCATTTGAAAAATTTGCATAAATACCTTCACGGACAAGTGACAGAGCTCATAAATACCATAAAAAAGAGTTTTGAAGGTCATGCACGAGTGGGATTTATTGCTTAATATTTTCCAAAACTGTACATGAGACAAATCACGTAGAAAATGCTGGAAGATACACTGGAGACTTGGATCACGCTTTGGGATCCAAAGGTGTTGCCATTTTTAAACATCAGACTGTAAATAATTTCTCTTGATTATTTGGATGAAAATTATTCGATTGTCTTGTAGCAGCTGATCGCTTTTCACCAAAATGCTTATTGTAGTTTCGCGACTGCCGGCATGGCCTTGTCCCGAGCAGGAAATTCCAAGTGCCGCCTTTGTTAATTTCCGAAGTTATTAGTTTAGAATACACTGGGTGGCATAGCTCATGGAATGTCGCGAAATTCTTAAAAATCCTTGTAATGCACAGGTTACCCAACCGAGCGCCGTTTTGCGCTTCATGACCTGAGGCGCT